GTTCCCGCCTCTGCAGCCACCACATGTGGAAGGAACCGTGGCACGGTTAAGGTCGTGTGGCCTTCTTCCCTTTCTTCCATCCCTTCTCGTCCCTCCCTTCCCTCCCTTCCCTTCCCTGCGGCTGAATCTGGTTCGCCATTCCGCTGCAGGTTTCCGTACACAGGGCCTTGGCGCAGGCTCTGGGGGCCGCGGCGGCGGCGGCGGCGGCGGTCAGCGGTCGCAACCAGGCTTCTTCTCCCGCATGCTGGGCCTCGTTCCGCCACCGCCCACAGGTGGCGCGATGCGCACGACGCCGATGCGAATCGAACCCAAGACCTTCTTCGCCAATGAGCGCACTTTCCTGGCTTGGCTGCACATGGCAGTGACCCTGGGATCGGTCAGTGCAGCGTTGCTGGGCTTTGCTGCCGGCGCCGAAACCGACACCGCGCCGGAATCCGGCGGCGAGGCCGTTAGCCGCCATCTCGTAGAGCTCATCGCGCTCATTTTGTTGCCGCTGGCGGTCTGTATGTGTTGTTATGCCCTGTATGTGTTTATCTGGCGCGCCGGCAACATTGCAAAGAAGCGTGCCGTCCACTTTGACGACCGGATCGGACCACTGTGTTTGTGTGGCGCAGTTGTGGTGGCATTGGTTGCTATCACGTTACTTAGCCTGATTGACTTTTTCGAGCTCCTAGCCTCTGTAGATTCCGCGCTCCCGCCGCCGCCGCCGCCGCCGGCGCTAGCCGCTACGGTACTTTGAGGCGACGCGTTTTAGGCAACGCGAAAATCGGCCGCCGAATGATGAATATCGCGTCGTCGTCGTCGTCGTCGTCGTCGTCATCGTTGATGTTGTTTTTGTTGTCGTTGTACTCTACTCTTTTAAGCGTGACGTCGTCGTCATCATGTCAAAAGCGGCTTCCTGGACCCTGCTTGCGCCATCGACTTTGTGACACGGCATTATGGCATCTTTTATTCGCCTGTTTGATCGGTTTTCCGTTGGTGGTTTGTCAACCGATTTGGCTGCTGGCTACTGCGTTGTCAGCTTTTGCTCTCTCTTGGACATGATTTCAGATCAGGGCGCGACGGCGAATGTGAGTGGAACTTTGTTTGTTGTTGGGAGAGGTGGTGGTGGTCTTTAGGTTCATGACGGAGGTGAGGTGAGGTGAGGTGTGATGAGGTGAGGTGAGGTGTGATGGGGCTTAAGGAACCTGCGAACATTTCACTAGTCCATGAGATCCCTTAGCCTGTCTGCTGCGTTTCTTACATTGCCCTTTGGGATGGGAATTGGGACCAGTTCGCCCTTTGGGTAACATTCCAGAAATAGATGCAGGTTTCGGAGCTCGGAGATAACCAGCTTTTGTGGTTTCGGAGCTTTTTGATTAAGAAGGGCTCCTTCGCGAATGTTTTGCCGTCTGTACAGGAGCAGTCCGAAGTGCCCCGGTGGCAGGGGCATTACCACCGGGTGCCGGTAGGGACGGGCTGCGGCCCCGTTGCGTGTTTTGAAGGCTGTGTGCTCTAAGCTTGGTGATGCCCTCTGCTTGCAACATTGGACTGATCTGCTTATCCAGCCACATATTGTACATGGATCCGAGGATGGAGCCTCTAGCTCATCTGGGTATATGCAGGAGTTCTGCCCAGTAAGAAATAAGCATGTACTGAATGTTATGGGGGGCTTTGAAGCACGGTCTCTCTCTCTCTCTCGCTCTCTCTCTCCTTTGCCTTGCGAGGGATTCTGGGAAAAACGGATCTCGTGCCGTGCAAATACGTACGGCAGTCTACCGAGCTTGAATGCCTTGACTCCTCAACAAGTGGGAATTGGCAGTCTTTTTAAAACTTTTTCACCGTGGTGATTTTTTAATGACCAAGTGGTTACTGTGGGGGTTTCCCTCTGGTAACTGGTAACCACCTTATAACAAGTCGGGTGTCGGCTTCCTCGAAGCCGGAAAAAGGGCGGGGGCCCCCTGCATCCGTACAGGCCGGTAGCTAGGGTAGTGTCAACGTGGTGGGAGTGCTGATGCTGTGGGAGCTATGCTTGTCAGAGCGTGGGAGGCAGGAAGCCGGGGCTCATAACCTGTTGAAGAGACGGTGTCTCTCTGAAACCTAGCAGACACGGTTAAGAGTCATTGGCCATTACACGTAGTCGTAGCGTATGAGTCTGAGGTGCCGTTACCGGCACACAGCAGGGGCTCGGCCGCCAAGTCCGCGGACCCGGCCGGATGCTCAACGCTCAGCAGACACAATCGCAGCTTGCCAGTCCTCAGCCTGTGGGCTTTGCGGTCTGGTACCGCAGCCCGAACACACAAGGAAACAACGCCGTACAGCACCGTACGCACTGCCTACGGCGCCCCTTCAGGCATTGACCTGCCCATTCGGGCGCCTGCTCACGCGCCCTTGGCGCCCCCTCAAAGCCTAGCTCGACAAACTTCCCCAAAGCCCTCTGCACTTTCCGGTACTGTCTGTGATGTTTATCCCCGAAGCGCCAGCGGCTTCAGCAATCCGCCCCACAGCCGCGAGTTTCATCACGGCACACTGCAAGTCTTTGGAGGCCCCGAGCATTGGCCAAAGTAATTGTACAAACGAGCAGCTTGCGTACTTCATAGAGAAATGAAAGCAAATTTGTCGGCCTGCTGGTGGCAAGTCGGAATGCCCGTGCGGGCAAATGGTAACGCAACCTGGGTGTTCGAGTTCTCATACGCCGTCATCTCAGAATATAATTATGAGATACACGGCACCTTTTGAGATTAAATTTAGCCCGAGGGGGCGCTGATGTGACTTTGACCTCGGTCAATGGAGGCAGCCATTTGTTTGTGCTCATACGATTTTCGTTGGCTACAGGCGAGATATATTGCAATAGGGAATGCAATGTATTACCAATAACGCGTTTCAGCCGGGCGAGATATTATGTTTGGTCCGTTACACACGGCCACACGGCAATGTCCTTGAAAATCTTGCATTTGAATCACCCTTGGCGATAAATCAAATCGTCGACATAGAAAAATCAAAGGCCTATGGGAAAAAATTATGCTGGCAGAGATAAAAGGGCTGGTGTACATGGAGCATCCCTTAGCAGCTTGGCATTTTTTGCTGCTTTGCGTGGTGCCTCTTTCACCTTCAGCGTTCACCCAGAAATGTGTAACGAACACCAATTGATACTGCGTGTGCTATATCGCGGCAGAACTTGCTTGCGGCAGCACATGTTGCGGCGGCAGCACACGTGAATTCAGGTGCACAACTTAAATAGCGATAACCGTAGCAACCGCACTAGTTAACTAAGCAGTACTGCTTTGGTCCATCCAAACCTGTTAGGCTCTAACGAGCTCAAACTGTGCGGCTCCACGTTACAGCTCCTCACGGCATATGCGTTCCGACACCCACAGTAGCAAAGCGGGTTGATGCACTAGCTCCAAGTTAGGATCGAGGGCTTTGGTTGGACTTAGTTAACTGGTTAACTGACTCGATAGGGTATCGTGAACAACTATCTTCGCACCATCCTCAACCTCATTCCTAGCATGAAGGACTCTGGTTAACGATTTCCGGTTACATAGTGTACTTCATTGTTGTACTGCAGCGTGACCCACTTGCGTAGCGCTCTAGCGCCAAAAAGGCCAGTAAATGAGATTACACTGGAAAATTGTTTCAGGTATTATGGTATCTTGCTTCGTTGAGGGACAGAGGGAAACCCTAGACATCGCCGGCGTTTCAACAGTTACATAATTGTCAGAGTCATTCCAGCCAACCGTTTAATTATGTGCGTTATTCAGTGCATAACGAATGCTTGCTTCATATCCGAACGAAACCGGCTTTATGAATTAGAACAAAGGGATTTGGGTCATGTGACGACCTATAAGTCCTTAGCTCCTTACCTCCCGGACAAGCCGAATAATTAATCCATCGTATTACTATAGTATAATATATACATATATCATGGCACAGAAGCCTGCACTGTAATCTCCCCAGGTAAGCACGTGCTTTCTTTACTGCATAACCGACTGATCACGTATCGGTATTCACGCGGATTGAAGCACTACTAATTCTTTCACACGTAGGTGGATAAGCCTGGTGTCACAGACAGGATTGCGTAGAGGCGCCCTTCTGAAAATGGGGGTGTTGTGTTGGACATCAGAAGCCTGCAGAAAATTGGACAAGGTAAGTCAAAGATATTTGTTTAATTCCGTTTGCCTGTGTTGCCTCAGGCATATTCCCTCTGATCTGCGGATATTGGTGAAGGGCTTTGCGTGGGAATTCCATTAGATGCAACTTTGCAACAAGGGTTTTCTCTATCGAAACAGGACGACTTACTTGAAGATCTGAAATGCGAATTTTCAACGATCACTGGCTTCTGGCCGGCGTGCTTCCGGCTTTACGCGGAGAAAGTCTTCGAATCATGTGATCGGACATCTGCATTCATAAGGTAAGCTACTACGTGCGCAATCATTTGATTTGCATGTAGCTGTCCTGTATGGGCTCCGATTTATATTTTCCATTAGTAAGTACAGGAGCAGCGTCCACCGCAGATAGTTTTCTGCTCTTTGCTCTCCCACAGAGCGTGTAAACTAGCAAATTGACATAGTCAAGCTGCATATAACTAATATGAGCATTCACTGCATTTTTCAACAGCGTCAAAAAGCCGCCGGCCAATTATCCATTCAGCTAATTTAGCTATACTGCCGAACTCGCCTTAGCTCCACGGCCTGCGCGACCTTTTCCCAGCATCCTAGGCACAGCACAAGATGGCGCTACACTTACAGTGCTAGGAAGCTCTGGCCCAGGGGCGTGCGCTGCACCCCCTGGTCGAGTCCTACCCTCGCCATGGCAGAGCCAGGGGCAGGGCCTGACCACCGACGAGAGACGCGGCTATCCCAGGATAGCTGCGGCCGCTTCCGACGGCCCCTCTACAGTCTCTCGGAAGCGCCTGCCAACCCTTTTCTGGAAGGTACGGCTCCTGCATCATCCCAAAGGGCAGGGGCAAAAGCCTCCACATCTGCCACATATGCTACGTTAGGGTTGGTACCCTTTGCGGGTCTCTAGCCAAGCGACTGTGAGTATTGCACGGGATGCCTCACGGGATTGGTTCCCAGAAATCCACCGTTTGGGCATTTTTCACTATGGAAAATGAACAGTTTCAGATTCTGGATGCTCTTCCTATTTTGCCCTGTGACACCGTTTCCTATTTTGGCAACCGGGCATGAAGCGACTCTGCAAGGTCACAGCTAGGTTCTACGTCAATTGCGCTAATCATACATAACATCGCCTTTACAATTCCTTTTCCTCTTAAATTTTTGCTGCTGTTAACTTCAGAGTGGCAGCCAGCTTCACCTTCCTTACGAGTGGCACCAGCTTCTTGGCCAGACTCTTTTCCCCGGCAGCCCGACGTTGCATGCCCAGTTGGAGCCTCTGGTGCTGTGCGGGCGACCGGTGGGGGCGCTGCTGCTGGTCGGCTACGGGGACCTGCGGCTGCGCTCCTCGCCCTCCGCAGCGCCCCTCGCAGCCCGGGGCAAGGAAGCGGGAGAGAAGACGCAGGGCGCCACGTCAGCAGCAGCCGCCCTGCTGCGCCGGCTGGTGCGGAAGAAGTCGTTCCCGCAGGGTCCTAAGGGCTCGGCTGCGGTTGTGATGGGCCCTGCACCGCCGTGTGGCAAGGCCGGGGCCGCCACCACCACGCGGCCTGTTTCCCCCGCGGTGTTGCGGGGGCTGGCCAGCTCGCTGGCCCAGCTGGCGTTTGGCCCGCACCTGCAGTCCGTGTCCAGGGTGAGGCCGGGGCAGCCGCTGCCTATTTCACTGCCGGGGCTTCACGTTGGGTTACGTTACGAGGGGGTTGTGCTGTCCCGTGTTTTGGGGGGTCGGGGATTTGGCGCTCACTGCCCGTTGCCACTGACGTTGCCTAATGGGGCACGCGACGCAGGGGTCAGTCCCCGCACTCCACATCCCCCCACTTCACTTCTCTCCATTCAACCCCATTCCCCAAAACCTTCCAAAAACTCTCTCCGGCCCCGGGGTGGTGATGCCCTTGAACCCTCGGCACTCACAGATTTGCTCCGCGACCCAAGCCCTGAACGCCGCCTCGTCCCTCTACGAATTCGCCTCCGTACTTTCGTACACCCTCACTGAGGCCCTGGCGGCGGAGCTTCACGTCAACCTCACCGTACGAGTGGCCGTCGTACCGCCCATGAACGGCCAGCACGGCTACCTGCTGCCGCTGGAGTCTGCTCACGCATTTGCCGTGGGCTCTTCCTTACCCCCTGCATCCGCGGGATCCACGGCCGTAGGGGAACTGTTCCACAAGCGCGCAGAAACCCCCTCGGGGGCTGCTGCGGGAGGTTCTTGTGCTTCCCCTCGTGCAACGGCTATTCCCCGCACCCCTAGTGGCCGGGAGGATAGTTTCTCGGGTTTGTCGCCGTACTCTCCGTACTCGGCACCTAATCTCGTACTTTCGGGCCCTGCGGGCGGGGCCGCATCGCCACGTGCTGGCAACGAAGGAAAGGTGGGTTGGAGATATAATTTATATATTATTTGAAATTACGAAATAGATCCTCAAATGTTCACTCTTTGTATTTTTATTGTGAACTCAAAAGTCGGATGGAATGCCGCGTGGTCAAGAGAGGTTGATATAACGCCTTCGTTGACCCTGCCTAGTCCTCCTAGTACTCACGAGGTGCCTCCCACGCGTCAGGTTGTTTGGAAATGCAGCCCTAATTTGGCGGTTAATCCCTTCTAAGGCTGCTCCCTTCTAATAAGGCTAGACACTGCTGAGAGACCCATAGCGAACGAGCACCGTGAGAGAAAGATGCCCTCGTACGATTACAGTTCAGTACGGCTCCTTCTGCCGGTCGTATACCAGTTTCGGGCAACAATTATATAACTGTGTCCTTTTCGTAGACAACGTCATAACGTTGAAAGGGATATATGTGCACGGGTGTGTGCATGCGTGTATGTATGTGTGTGTATGTATGTGTGTGTGTTGGTATCGTACAGTTGGAGCACATAGTCGCATCACCGCGGGGGGACCTCTCGTCAAAGGCAATGGCTCTGCCCATCATGAATAGTAATACAGATCCAAAAGAGCAAATTAAAGAACAGCGGGGTTGCAAGAACCTAAATCAAGATTGAAGCAAAACGTAGCTTCAGAATCCCTGCGTAGTTACTCAGCTGCAGGTGTTAAGCCGTGACAAAGAACTGATCTAATGTCCGTCGCCAGGCGTCGTCACTCCAAAAACACCCCCGAAATTCCCCCTGCCCCGCAGGCCGCGCCGTTCGCACTGCCCTCCTCTCTCCTGCTACAGCTTCTACGACCCATGGGTCTTCGCGCCGGCAACGCCTCCACCGCGTCTTCCGTACACGCCGGCTGCTTCTTCCAGCAGGCAGTGCCGCCGCCACCGCCGACCACGACAACCGACGAGCCCACCGTGCGCAGCATCGTGACCAAGGCGTATGACAGTACGACACCATACTGCAACGACTTCCAGCATGGCGATTTATTGAGCAGCGGCAGCATTCTTGCCAGCGCGCGAGAATCCAATTTGCAAGTACACCTGAGTGCAGCCAGCGTCAGCGGTGCCGCCGCCGCGCCTGCGACACGCGGCTGCGCCTGCGCCGCCGCCGCCGCCACGACCGCCACGGCCACTTCCGTTTCCGGCATGGTTATTTCCAATCTCCACGCGTGGATGCAGGACGTGGAGCGCCCCTCCTCGGACGTGGCCGTGTTGATGATGGCGGCGGCGCGGGGCCGGGGGACTCAGACGGGACCTGGGCGGCCGTCGCAAGGGGGGGCAGGGGGAGGGGTGCCGGGGGGGGGGCCCGCGTGTCTGGTGGCGGTGGCGGGATGTGTACCGCCGCGGCCGACGGCCGCCGTACCTGGGATCGCCGTCACCGCCAACGCTAATGGAAGCATGCATACAGCTCGCTTGGCAAAGCCAGGACGAAGGTCGGCAGAATGGGTACAGAATTTGGAGGCTTCGATGCGCGGCGGCGTCGCCGTCGACCTGTCGATACGGTACGGCGCCGGGGACGGCGGCGGCAGTGTTCGGTACGACAACGGCGGCGGCGGTGGGGGCTGTGGCGCTTGCGTTGCCTTGTACATCACGGCCCAGGAGCGGCTTCCCACTTCGCTGTTGAGGGTGATCAAGGAGCGGGCGACGGGCCTGTTGGAGGTGAGCAAAGGGGTTTCTTGTCGTACTGATGGATCCGTTGCCGTACCGGCGCTATACTCATGAGCCTTCCCATGCGATGAGCTCCGTCCGCTAACGTGCTGTTCCGTAATTGTGAATGCAGCTGCTACTGCCTTCCTGCCTGGGCTCCCTAGCCATGGAACCAGT